CGCCTCGCAAAAATCGTCTGTTAGAATAAAACAAGACAATAATAGGATTTGAAAAAAAGGTTTTCCTGCTATGACGAGCTCAGCCTCAGCGTAAACAAATGCAAAGTGTGGACTTTTAATAAAACAGTAATGCCATTTTTGTTTTACTCACGGAACGATTACCCTTGGCCATAGGCAGACCTGAAACGAAAGGAAAATCCTCTGTAATAAGGGGCCTTAAACTAGGCCTTAGATGATTGCTAGTTTGGACAATTAAAGGCGCTTAACTAAAGAACGCCTATTGCTCTTCCACACCCCCAACGTAATGTCCGCATTTTCTTTTGAGCTTTTTAACGTTTAAATGTTGTCTTACTTCACAACTTACGCTTTAAAATTTTATTACAATTCGACCTTTGTATGCTTTTTTTTCATAACGAAGTACTTAACAACACTCATATCAGTGTTTTTTTTCTGGGGGAACAAATCGCATTACAACCTTTTTAGATGAAATTATCGACCTCAATTAATAATGACGGTACTTCGGAAGATCGCCTCCTATTAGTTCTTACAATCATAAAATATTTGTTTAAATGGTGCATTTTAATATTAACACACTAATTTGATTGTGTCCAGTGAATAAATGTGGGCATTTGTGCTGGGCACAATTGACCCATTCATCTTAAATTAGACATGACGTAAAATAGGCTCCTTTGACAGTAATCGGGATACTCGAAAGTTGCTGCTTTGTGCCTAATGCATTATGCAAACTCATACCCCACTCATTTTTGAGTGAAAGATGCAATGGATGCTGCAGGGATGAAGACAACTTTGTGTTTGCCTAGCACTGTCTCGGAAACTTATTCGAGTGATTATGCTCTGTCAAAATGCCACTGATATACACATATAATTGCCTGAACTCTTGAACAAGGCTGTTGCTGGTACTACGGAAAAGTGAAAATTGAAGTGTAGATAGCAGTTAAGGCGAGTCCATATGCATTAGATTAATATGGGAAAGAACTAATCAGGAGGAAAACGCAGTTCGCAGCCACTCATGCCCTTAGTATTTTGCTATTCTCCTGCGGCGTTATTCACACCTGCATTTAAGTAGCGGTTAGTCACCGTTTAGCGTCAATTGCTGAAAGGTTGGCAGGTTAAAGCATTATGAAGCAACTCATTTAAAAGGAACGGTGCGAGAAGGCTTGGGAAGGCCAAACTCAACTCACCCCCAGCCACGAGACGCCCTCTCCTCCCCCCACCTCCCCTCCTCCCCGCGTTTCCTCAACAGGGGAGGATGCGACTAGCCAACCACTCCACTCGGATTAGCCAACCTGACCGCGATTGGCTGTTGTGATATTCCCATACTTAGGCTAATGACGAGGCTTTCACTTCAGGTATATGTGAATTAGAACAATAAACAGATTAACATTTTTGGAGTTGATGAGATTAATGCAGCCGTTAATGGGTCCCATCTAAGTCGTCAAGATAAGGTTTGTTTAGTCGAAAGAGTGGAAATTCTAAATCAGATGATATTTCTCCACTGCCATTATAAGCTGAAGGTGAAAGCTTGTTTAGGTAATATTTCAAAGTAAATGGGTTATGGTTGTCTTACGCCATGCAACGTAATAAGAGGTAACTAAGTCCTTTTCGTGTTATGGATTTTAATATTATCCAACACTACTTAACTCATTTAAATTTTGGTTTAGGAAGTTCTTTTCGGTACAAATACTCTTTAGCAGGTTTATGTAGCACTATCGAAAAAGTTCCTGTTGAGGCTTGTCACCATTGAGCGCAAACTGACCACATTCTTATGCATCAAACCCATTGTAATCTTATGTATCATCCTGGATAAAATAATTCCGTCAGGATTAATTAAAGCAAATTAAACATAACGCACAAAATTAGCAATGCATTTTGTTTTTTGAACCTTCAGATTATTTAGTCTGCATTTGAGCAACTGCATTGGCGGTTTCTTTTCGAGTGGAAGTTAATAAGAATATCTGCTTCTTTAAAGAAATAGCATTAAGCATACCTATGTACATAAAATGGGATAATATTTGAATATTTAATTCGCACGATGGTCTTAAAAGTGTAAGCAATTGTAGAGTTACATTCAAAGCCACTGGTCGAACCATACTTCCGATTTTACTTTTTCCGAAGCATCAATTAGGTGGGCTAAGTGGATGGCGAGAAAGAGTGGAGGTAACTTTTACACCACCATCACTCCTCGAATCGGGAAACCGCGAACTCCAATGACTCGACATTTTCGCTTCTGCAGTTAACCATTAGTAAGAGCGTAGGTGAAAAAGGCTTGGAGCGTTGAGCTCGGCCTTTCATCTACCCGCATTCACTTCACCCATTCTCATGCAAATTAGATGAAACCGTTTTTTTATAATCTTCTCAATGTTCACTTTTCTTTGAATAAATTAAGTTTTTGTTCATTGCAGTGTGGACTCAGGCGAAGGAAAGACGAAATTATTGTGGCTGTTCAGAATTCAAATACACATGCGCAAATAAATATAACAAATATTGTAAAAATAAATATTAATAATTTTCCTTTAAAGATAAAATAAGAAATATAACAGCCGATCAATTTTGTACGTAAATTTTTTACCAGGCATTTTCGCTGATTGAAAATAGGCATGTCAGTCAAGCTTTTCCCTATTCAAGGCATCAGTAGGTCATAATAGGAGCCCCTAATCATCTGATAAAGATAATCTGTTTTTATCAGTTAAAAGTCGTCTTTCTTTTACGCAAATTGAGGGCACAATCCAGAGCAGTTAAAATTTATTCGTTGTGAAAAAGTATAATCTTTATGCTGAACGTTGTTGGGAAAGTCGCTAAGGGCCAAGTTGTGGTAATCGTTTGGGTTCCATTTAGTCAGGCCTACATTGATTGTTAGACTACTCGGAATTTGCTAAAATGAGAAAAATTCGCAATGAATTGAAATTTTTATTTAAATAGTACTTACATTTCTACCAATCAGCCTATGATGCCGCAAAATGGAGAGACGGCGATAAACACAAAACCGAACCATGATATGAGCATTACAGATGAGTAAAAATCTTGACCTTATTCTCTGATTTTCCTAGCATTTAATATCCTTTAAAAAACTTGAAGTAATGCGAAGACATCATGTCTACTGGACTAAATCGAGTAAAATGTTGGCTTTGGCATTCAAAGTTGATGGGTCACTTCGGTACCACTAAATGGTACATAGCACTAACAATTAGTTCACTGTCGCGTTTTAATTAGGCTTTATGATTTCCTGTGATTTCCTTTCCACGCCTACTACAAGAACTCTATTCCCCTTCCATCGTTTTGATATTTCCAGTCTTTTTTACTTTATACCTCATCGCTACAATGGCTCAATCATTGAACAAGTCCACGACTCAAATAACTCCTGGCCAACACCGCATTTAAACCTTACAGAAGGAAGACATCTATTGTGCACAACATAGTAATCATCAAAACCGTGTTCACTTCTGCCAATCAAATGAGCCTCCAGTTCTGCACAGCGACCAGGAATTTAAAAATATCGAAATCATGGGTAAGTAAGTGCTTACAGTATTTACGTGAGGTATAATGGCCATCT